CTTCATCAGGTAAGGTAGTGGTACAGGGTCCATAAAGTACATGAACTCTTCTGGTCATTCATGTAATCCCCAGGGACTCCCCAAATGGCTAGTGGGTCTAGAAAAGGGGTGACCTCCTCCAGAATGATCACATCGTCCTTTCTCCTGTAGGTGGGATATGCCAGAAGACCCTTTTTTTTTTTTCTCTGTCCTATAGGTACCAATAGCTTTTTTTTTTTTTAAGATTTTATTTATTTATTTGACAGAAAGACACAGCAAGAGAGGGAACACAAGCAGGGGGAGTGGGAGAGGGAGAAGCAGGCTTCCCACTGAGCAGGGAGCCCCATGCGGGGCTCAATGCCAGGACCCCGGGATGATGACCTGAGCCGAAGGCAGACACCTAACAACTGAGCCACCCAGGCGTCCCTACCAATATCTTATCAATGAGGAGGCCTTTGTGGTAAAAACAAGCCTGGACTCATGACCCAAGGCAAAATGAAAGGCTGGCTGCATTGGATCATCAGCTCAGGGCCCGTGAGAGCTTCTGTTTCCAGGAAGACTGGGTATTGCCAACAGTGGCTGGGCTGAGAACAGCTACTTGTACGAGAATGCTGTGGCCATCATAGCTGTTTGGAGATCCTGGGAGGTCTGAAAGGAGGCTGCGGAAGCCTCTATGGAATAGGAGACTGGGATGGGAGACACTAATGGGAGTGACCGTTATTTGATCAGATTCTAGAGCCATTTGTTTTTCCATTCAAAGTCATTCAATTTGTATTTTGTGGCTAAGCAAGCAGAGCAGGTTAATTTTGCAACAGCCAAGATTGTTGTGGCTGAAGGGCATGTGCCCCGTGATGTACCTTCTGCCCACGCACCTCACAGCCCCTGCTGCTGTTAGAGAAGTGTTCCAGAGTGGGACAGATGTGGGTTCTAAAGATGCTTCCCAGTAAGCAGGCAAAGTCAGCTTGCGATGGGAAACTAAGAGCTGTACGTGGCCTCAGGATGGCAAGGGAAGGATAGGATACTGATGCTTAGGCGTTAGGAGGTCCTCAGATCGTACTTGGGGGAGAACTGCAGGGTGCACCCTCATGTTTCAGAACCACAGTATTTCCAAAGATCTGACTGAGGAACCTTAGATTCTGGGAGCCATCTCACTTTAGGTGCAGACGTGATTGCAAGAAAAGGTCTGTTGGGGACTGAGTCCTCCTTCCTCAGTCCTTCAGTTCTTCCTAAGTAGTATTTCCAATACAGTGGAAAGAAAAGTTGTACACATGACAATCAAGGCTCAGCAAAATTTAATATTCTCCCAGCATATGAAAGCATTTTTATTGTTTTCTATTAATCATTTTGAGTATATACATACATACTATTTATAGTGGGGAGTTTCCACAAATCTGTAGTAATACTACCATCAAAAGATGAACCCCAGGGGCACCTGGGTGGCTCAGTCGTTAAGCATCTGCCTTCAACTCAGGTCATGATCCCAGGGTCCTGGGATTGAGCCCCGCATCGGGCTCCCTGCTTGGCAGGGAAGCCTGCTTCTCCCTCTCCCACTCCCCCTGCTTGTGGTTCCCCCTCTCGCTGTCTCTGCCAAGTAAAATCTTAAAAAAAAAAAAAAAAGAACCCCAGAACACTCTTGTACTAAACCCCTCCACCACTGACCACTCATATTTTAGGTTCCTATGTTTGTCTTTCCCAGAATGTAATATAAACAGAACCACTGCCTATGAGTCATTTGTGAAATTTGATGGAAAATTTGTAAAAGTGAAAATTTCTTGCAGTGCTTTTCTGAGTTTAAAATTTTGATAATGCCCAGTTACCTAGGTAGCACACATTAGATCTCCAAACGTGAGAGATGTTCTCCTGTGCTTAAGTTTCTCTTATGTAAGATGGAAGGAGTGATTGGTGAAGGCATCCAATGAGAGACCAATAATCACGAAATTACTGCCACAGTGCTAAGAAAATGTCTGTCAGTACTAAAAAATGAACAGGATTGACTTTCCTTTGCTCTTTAATAAAACTCAAAGTGGTTACTTTTAAATTCTCCCAGGGGCGCCTGGGTGGCTCAGTCGTTGAGCGTCTGCCTTCGGCTCAGGTCATGATCCCGGGGTCCTGGGATCGAGCCCCGCATCGGGCTCCCTGCTCAGCCAGGAGCCTGCTTCTCCCTCTTCCACTCCCCCTGCTTGTGTTTCCTCTCTAGCTGTCTCTCTGTGTCAAATAAATAAATCTTTAAAAAATAAATAAATAAATTCTCCCAGCCCATAACATGTGCCAGAAGTGTGAGCATATAGAAATGACACTTGTGGACAGTGAGGTGGGCTGTGGGGCTTTGTGGATCATTCAAACAGAAAGCTTCCAATTACTCCTCTTACAGAAAGACATTTCCCATATTTTTCCTTTTACATTAAAATTAGGATATTACTCAAAATGATACTTTGTGACTGCAGCTTTCCTTAGTTATTCCTTGGATAACTGCCTTCTAAACATAGCTATTTTTGGTGTTTCCACTGGAAAATCACACGTGTAAATACCACTCTCTGCATATAATAAACTCTGGATGGGCTAGAACAGTGCAGATCATCATAACCTTTTTTCAAACTGGGAGAGACCCCAAGGTTTAATGGGGGGTTTATATTATGCAGTTAATATAGAAGCAAAAAAAATATGTATACATACACACACAGAAGCAAAATTTAAGTGCCAAATACTATAAAACTTAAATACAGATAAATTGAAATGCTCTCAAATGATGTTAAACACGAAAAAATACCACAGATATCTGTGGCCCCAGTCAGTGGCAAGTTTCAAGCCCCAGATATCCAGGCCCCAACTCATGATCACATATTCCATACAGAAAACTGCAAAAAGGAAGATGAACTAGGTCTGTATCTTTATGGGGACTCTTTACTGTTAATCACAGGAATGCTGGACTTTCTCCATTTCTACTGCCCTCTATTTACTTCCATACCCAAGCTGTTCCTGAAAGCCTTTAAGATGTATTACATGGTGGGAATTCAAGTGGTCAGTAGTGACATCCTCACTCAGGCTCCTTTCCTCCTAGAAAAGACACATTCCCAGCCTCCCTGTTATTTCGTGACGTTGCTTACTTTTCTTCAAAGCCCTTACTTCCATCTTATTACCCAGGTTTTACTATTTGTTAACCATCTCTCTTTTCCCACAAAAATATGAGCACCAGGACTGCAAGAACTTGTGTTTAATGCCTCTATATTGAAATCCTACACTGATTTTATTATTTTTGCTACACTGGGTATGTTTTGAGTACACACTGTCTGACAGATGAGGGATGTTCAAAGATTAGCATCAAGAGTAGTCTCTGAGGGGCGCCTGGGTGGCTCAGTCATTAAGCGTCTGCCTTCGGCTCAGGTCACGATCCCAGTGTCCTGGGATCGAGCCCTGCATCGGGCTCCCTGCTCCAGGGGAAGCCTGCTTCTCCCTCTCCCTCTCCCACTCCCCCTGCTTGTGTTCCCTCTCTGTTTCTCTGTCAAATAAATAAATCTTAAAAAAAAAAAAAAAAAGAGTAGTCTCTGAGCAAGAAAGGCATGATTGGAACAGGAGTCCTGTTTTTTTTCCCCCCGCTAGGTTTTGTTCTCTCATAATTTACCTAAACTTAGAGGCTTGGTGACATCATAAAGGAGATATTAAACACAGTTTACTAAGAAGTGAAATTACATATTTTCACTGAGGTTCTCAGAGGTAAATAGTGTCCATCAGTTCACTGTAGGAAATATACTAGTGTTTAGATAATGAGTAGGTAGGGCAACAGCTCTTCTAGGGGACTGGCCTTGCCAAATCTTACAGTGCTGAAGAGAAAAACAGCAAACACTTCCATCAGACAAAGCAATTTGGTGATCGTGATGGATCAAGACAAAAAGAAGGGTATTTTGTAACCATGTCTCTCAAAATGGAGAAGAGACCATTCTAAGTCACAAAAATAACCAAAATTCTCCTCTCCTTAATATGACTGACTGGAGCTTCTTATAGGCGTAGCCCCACTACACTGGGAATCATAATCATCTTCTAGAAGGTAAAGACAATGGTAGACTTGTTTACCTCCACAAAGCATCCAATACATCCAGAACCTTCTTGCCGTTACTAAGTAGTAATGAAATCACCTAGCAAAAACCCAAATCATGTAAGTCCTTTGAAACACTCTTACTAATAAATCCACTCATTTAGGGTTTGCAGTCCTTTATTTTTTAAATATTAGAGCACATGAGCAGGGATAGAGGGAGAGGGAGAAGCAGACTCCCCTGCTGAGTGGGGAGCCTGATGTGGGGCTCGATCCCAGGACCCTGAGATCATGACCTGAGCCACAGGCAGATGCTTAACCAACTGAGCCACCCAGGCACCCTGCGGTCCTTTTTTTAAAGTAGGCCCCATGCCCAGCTTGGAGCCCAACATGGGGCTCAAACTCACAACCCTGAGATCAAGACTTGAGCCGAAACTGAGAGTCAGATGCTCAACCAATTGAGCCACCGAGGCACTCCTGCAGTCATTCTTATTACTATAGTTCACCACACCCCTGCTGACTGCTGATGTCAACGTAGTGGGTTTGTCTAGCAAGAGGACACTGACCAAATGAGAAGTTTCATGACAAAGACTGTACCTATGAAAGAATGAAAAGTACCTCAACATGTGTACAACACAAGGTAATATTGAGAATGTATGCTTAACTTGACAAAATTACAAAGTTGATCTGAAAATTCGTAATTACAATGGGATATTTTAATATATGCTCTCAGGAAATGAGAGACTCAGTATATGTTAGCATACAAATTAAAACAGTTAATAAAATGTTTTAAGATTTTATTTGAGAGCGAGAACAAGCTCAAGAGCATGAGTGGGGGAGAAGGAGAAGCAGACTCCCCACTGAGCAGGGAGCTCGATGCAGGGCTCGATCCCAGGACTCTGGCATCATGACCTGAGCCAAAGGCAGATGCTTAATGACTGAGCCACCCAGGAGCCCCAGTTAATACAATGTTTTAAGAAATGACTACAGAAGATTCTGTTTGACAAATGCATTGCTTTTAATCACATACAATCAACCATACTTGAAAATATACCGAGGAATGACGCACAGCGGTGAGCAAACCCGCCTGACAGGAGGGAGGGGTCAGCAGTAGCTGCAGCCGAGGAACAAAGTCCACAGTGGTTCTTTTGGTCACTGTAGCACTCACAGTGGAATCAGGAGTACATGGTCACTAGCAGTATTACCAAAACAAGGTATTTACTACACAAATTAGACCTTAAATGAATACGATACAGAGGAGAGTCTGAGCACCAGAGAGTACTCCCACCCATGAAAGTTCAGATTAGTTGCCTGGTGGACACTTGAGGGATGGCAGGAAAATCCAAACTGTGATGGATCTTTGATGCCGAACTTGTGAAGGTATATGTGGAAACCTACACCTCTGAGAAATGAAGTCGAGCAGTTAATTGTGGTTTTGAGGACACTCTTGACTAGGAGGGCAAGGGATCAGGAAAATAGGCTGCAAGCAGGGATCCTCAAAGCTCCTGTACAGCTCTGTCTGGTGGCTCTGAAACCTGATGCCTCCTGTGCTCCTGCCTTTCAAATCTCACACAAGTGAGGCTACAGGTATAGAATCACAAAGGAAACAGATTCTAGAAAATGTCACATTACCCAGGTAACAAAACACAATTTAGGAGTGCCATCTCCAATTCTACATTTTGTTATCCAGTGACTGGTCTGTCTTAATGCAAAGGTGATTATTCAAATCTCAGCCAGAAGGAATGGCAAAGGCCAAAAGATGGAATTAACTGATCAGACAATACTTAATGCACTCTGTGTATTTACAAATTTATGCCATCTTTTTATTAGCAAGGAAAATGGAATTAAGTCTCTTCTGGCCAAAACAAGAATTGGTTTTCTCCCAAGAAAGATGGAATATATGATGGATAATGGATATCCAGTAGCTGACACAGGAGGCCAGTAGGAAAATACCAAAGCATCATTTATCGATAATTCAATTAAAACATTATATAAAAATTAAATCTACTTGCACATTTAGAAACCACTTCAATACACCCATGGATCAAACAAACTCCAAAATGGAAAGAGAAAAATGTTATCAACTGATTTAAGGAGAAAACAAATATCTATTAATCTTTAAACAGTAATAAGAGTACTTACAGAATTATCTCACCTCAGTGTTCATTTTTGAAAGTAGTAAATATCCACAGTCCAGAGATCCACTTTAAGAATGAGGCACTGATCATGTATTTCTAACTTTTATAATGATTCGTGTTACAGTTTTCTGGAACATTATACATGGATTAATTTGTATCAGGGTTTCTTATATTTGTTGGATTTCTTTCCAGTGGGGGTTTTCACATGTAAGGATGAAGGTCAATTGATGTTTTTCCCACACGGCTTACATTCAAGAGGTTTCTATTCAGTATGAGATCTCTCATGCCTTCGAAATGAATTGGGACGACTAAAGGCTTTTCCACATTCTTTACATTTGTATGGTTTCTCTCCAGTGTGCATTCTCACGTGTCCTCGAAAGGTAGTGCGATAAATAAAGGCTTTTCCACATTCCTTACACTCATAGGGTTTTTCTCCAGTGTGAGTTTTTTCATGCGTTCGAAAGGATGTGTAACAACTAAAGGCTCTACCACATTGTTTACATTCATAGGGCTTCTCTCCTGTGTGAGTTCTTTCATGTATTCGAAATGAACTGGGAAAATTGAAGGCTTTCCCACATTCCTTACATTTATAAGGTCCATCTCCAGTGTGCATTATCATGTGTGTTCGAACACTTGAGGGAGAAATGAAGGCTTTCCCACATTCTTTACATTTATAGGGTTTCTCTCCAGTGTGCTTTCTCATGTGTCCCTGAAAGGTTGTGCGATAAATGAAAGTTTTGCCACATTCCTTACATTCGTAAGGTTTCTCTCCAGTGTGAGTTCTTTCATGTATTCGAAAGGAACTGGGCCAACTGAAGGTTTTACCACACTGTTTACATTCGTAGGGTTTCTCTCCAGTGTGAGTCCTTTCATGAGATCGAAAGGAACTGGGACAAATGAAGGCTTTCCCACATTCCTTACATTTATAAGGTCCATCTCCAGTGTGTGTGATCATGTGTGTTCGAATGCTTGACAGAGAAATAAAGGCTTTCCCACATTCCTTACATTCATAAGGTTTCTCCCCTGTGTGAATTCTTTCATGTATTCGCAAACCTAGAGGAGAACTGAAGGTTTTCTCACACTGTTTACATTCATACTGTTTCTCTGCAGTGTGAGTCCTTTCATGTCTTCGAAAGGAACTGGGACAACTGAGGGCTTTACCACACTGCTTACATTCATAGGGTTTCTCTCCAGTGTGATTTCTTTCGTGTATTCGCAAACCCAGAGGAGACCGGAGGGATTTCCCACACTGTTTACACTGATAGGGTTTCTCTCCAGTGTGAGTCCTTTCATGTGTTCGCAATGAAGTAGAACAACTAAAAGCTTTCCCACATTCCTGACATTTGTAAGGTCCATCTCCTGTGTGAGTGATCATGTGTCTTCGGAAAGTTGTGAGCCACGTGAAAGCTTTCCCACATTCCTGACATTCATAGGGTTTTTCTCCAGTATGAGTCCTTTCATGTCTGTGAACAGACTTGCGGTAGCTGAAGGCTTTCCCACATTCCTTACACTTATATGGCTTCTCTTCACATTCGTGATACTCATATGGCTTATGTCCAGTGTGAGATCTGATGTGCCTATTAAGGGACGAATGACGCACAAAGACTTTTCCACACACACTACATTCACATGGTTTTACTCCAGAAGGCGTTTTCTTGTTCAGATTAAGATCTGGAGTCTGGGTGATAGTTTCTCCACACTGATGACCTTCAGGTGGTTTTACTCCAGAAGGCGTTTTCTTGTTCAGATTAAAATCTGGAGTCTGGGTGATGGTTTCTCCACACTGATGACCCTCTTTGCTTTCACAATGTTTTTCTACCATATGACTTCTGTAAAAAATGGGAAGTATTTTATTAATGATTTCTTAGTAATTCATATTAGTAGGGTATTAGAATTACATTTTTATAACTTACAGCAAAATGAAGGTTCCCTGCCCTTTCTGAATTGTTTGGAAAGTTAATATACTGAATGCTCCGTAAATAGGACTTGACCACAGCTATTATGTAAACAAAGATTATTAACATACAGGGTTTCTTTTTTGTTGTTTTGATCTATCTATATCCATCCATCCATCCATCCATCCATCCATCCGAGAGAGAGTGAGCACAAGCAGGGGGAGTGGCAGGCAGAACAAGGAGCCCAATGTGGGGCTCAGTCCCAGGACTCTGAGATCATGACCTGAGCCAAAGGCAGACACCTAACCGACTGAGCCACCCAGGTGTCTCAACATATGGGTTTTTTTTCATATGGGGTTTCTTTATGCTGTTTCCAAGTGGACAGTTTTGCAAACATTCAACACCTATGTCACATTTAAGTAAATATTTCCAGTGAAAAAAATTTAAGGATAAATCTGAATAACTTGTGTTTTATTTATTAACGATTTTATTTATCCACTTGACAGAGAGAGAGAACAGGCAGGGCGAGTGACAGGGAGAGGGAGAAGCAGGCTCCCACTGAGCAAGGAGCCCAATGTGGGACTCAATCCCAGGACCCTGGGATCATGACCTAAGCTGAAGGCAGACGTTTAACTGACTGAGCCACCCAGTACCCCTGAATAATTTGGTTTTTAAAAATTCATGACATAGGATTCTCATGTGGGACATTGCTACACTGTGTGACTCACCTTAGTCGTCTCCCCTGGGTATTGTACCTATCTTCGGTGTCATGATCTTTCCATTTTTTCTCTAAAATGCAGATGGAGAAAAAATTCCATGTTATTAGAAATTATAGAAAAATTGCTAGATTTTAGGTCTATGATGAACTTAGCTTACTAATGTACTCTTTTCCCACACGTCAGAACAAGACTGATGGGCAAGAAATACTTGTTTCTCTAATTGTCAAAGTTTGGTAAGAATGTCATCATCTTTACCTATTGAGGCCAGGTTTCTGAAGGTTTCCCGCATCACATCTCTGTAAAGTTTCTTCTGCGAAGAATCCAGTAAAGCCCACTCTTCCAGGCTGAAGTTCACAGCCACATCCTCAAAGGTCACTGAGTCCTAAAACATCCCAAATATGTTTACAGTAGCATACATGAGTCTGACAGCACTGGGGATTTATACTCAATTTATAGGAAGGTTATGTATGATTCTGTGGTCTCCAAACATTTATGTCTTGGTCATGAGAAATTTTCTGTTCACACTTCCTCATAAATTTAACAGCATCATGAACACATGCAAATTATTTATTCATCTTTACTGTGATCACTTTAAATGTTACTGTTCTCTAATGGCAGGGTCTAGAGCACCTTGGAGAAATGAGAGAAATGCTATACAAATGAAACAAGTATTATTTTAAGCACACTAATTCCTTTTGAGAAAAACTCTCTCATCTCCTTCCTTCTTACCTACCATTTAACTCAGCACTCCATGATGTACGGGGTCAAATCTGCATGAGGTTTTAATGAATAAAACACAATGAAGAACTGGAAGCTTTTTCTTCTAGTCCCATCACCAAACATGAGAGTCCAGGAGGCCTGTGGAAATGCAACTTGTAACAAGGATCAGCTTGCCATATCGGCCTGAAGGCCGTTAGAAGTAGCCAGATGTAGCTGGATAAATGAAAATATTCCTGTGAAGAAGTAGAACTTTTCACTTGTGTAATTCTTATTGCACTCAGTTTTTCCATTCTCTCTGTCCCACTTCGTGGAGCCAGGAAGTTACTCAGAAGTTAGGGCTCAGAGATCTCCACAAAAACCCTATCCACATGAGCCTCAGGGCTGCTGCTCACTTTTTAGGACACACACTGAGATGAAAAGGTGCTAGAGGAACTCTTTTTTGGTCCAACTGTAACAGCGTCCTCTGGCCCGTCCCAACCCTGACGAACAAGTTAAGAAGTGCAGGTTGCAAGGGAGTTTCCTGACATCCACAATGGTTTGATGGTGAATCTGTTCATGATTATTAAATACATAAAGGATTCAGCGGTGCTTTCCTCCAAAAGAACATAAAATGGCCATTCTCCGACTTCAGGAGGATGTTTCCTGACCAGCGCTCTCGAGGGGGCCTCTCATCTCCTCTCACTTAGGAGCTCAGCTGTGCTGGACAGAAGCACTACAGCAAACCTGAGTGCGGGAGTCCCTTAGTTGAGGACACCACATGCTGCCCACAGGGTATAACTGAGGTCTCTGGGGAGGAAGGCAGGCCTCTCAAGCAGGCCTGAAATGGCTTGAAAAAGCAGGGAACGGCATGCAGACCTTTTTCTCCCCCGAGGTTGTGAGTGGACTAAAGGTTCACACACAAGGGCAGGCGCCGGCATGAACTGAACCTCTTGCCACTGCCAAAGCAGGAAGCACTAGGCCTTCTTACTGTCTTGGACAGAAGTGGACCAAGGAGGAAGAAGGAGGGATGAGCTTCAAAGCTGTGAGCAGTCAAACATCAAAAATTGGAGTCAGAGACTTGGGTTTTTTTTTTTTTTTTTGGGGGGGGGGGGGTCAATATAATGAACTTAGAAGCAGTCTCTCCCTCACAAGGAAAAAGCAAAAAAAATTAAACAACTCTTCTTTGACCCATCAGAGAAGTGAAGACACGGCAAACCACAGTCTTCAAAATTGGAGACAGAAAAGAAGCTATTTTGAAATATGCCCAGAATATTCTATTCTTAACAAGGACTGTCCTCAGAAGAATCTGTTTCACTGGGGCCTAAGCAAACAGAAAAAAAAGAACACAATATCCAAGAACTCTGGGATAATGACAAGGGTAAAATACACACAATGGGAATAACTGATAGAAATAAAGACAGAAAAAGTAAGTGAAGCAATAATCACTGCATCTTCCTACCATTCGAGATTGCAAACTGCAGATCTGGGTAGCTAAGAGAGCACAAAATATGAAGGGGAAAAAAACCCAAACAACCAAAAATGCAAATTCAAGCACATCCTATTCAAACTGGAGAAAAATCGTAAACAAAGAGATTATAGTGAAAGAAGCCAGAGCAGGGAAAAACAAACCTCAGTTACACTGAAACAGAGGTAAGAATTAAATTGGACTTCTTTCTGAAACCATTTCAGCAAGAAGAGACTGGAGCAAAACAAAGTGCTGAAAGTAAAAAACCACCATCCTACAATTCTGTGTTAAAATTATTCTTCAAAAACAAGGAAGAAATAAAGACTTTCTGAGGCAAACATTGAGGAATTTGACATGAGTACACCTGTTTTTCAAGAAACACGAAATTCATAGGGAGGTAAATAAGAAAGGCAGAGCATTAGGAAAGAAATTAATGAAGGTAAAATACCTTTTCTTTTACTAACAAATCTGACAGGTATCACTTTTTAAAAAAAATTTTTTATTGTTAATCCCCATACATTACATCATTAGTTTTAGATGTAGTGTTCCATGATTCATTGTTTGTGCATAACACCCACTGCTCCATGCAGAACGTGCCCTCTTTAATACCCATCACCAGGCTAACCCATCCTCCCACCCTCCTCCCCTCTAGAACCCTCAGTTTGTTTCTCAGAGTCCATAGTCTCTCATGGTTCATCTCCCCCTCCGATCTCCCCCCCTTCATTCTTCCCCTCCTGCTACCACCTTCTTTTTTTTTTTTTAACATATATTGCATTATTTCAGAGGTACAGATCTGAGATTCAACAGTCTTGCACAATTCACAGCGCTTACCAGAGCACATACCCTCCCCAGTGTCTATCACCCAGTCACCCCATCCCTCCCACCCCACCCCCCACTCCAGCAACCCTCAGTTTGTTTCCTGAGATTAAGAATTCCTCATATCAGTGAGGTCATATGATACATGTCTTTCTCTGTTTGACTTATTTCGCTCAGCATAATACCCTCCAGTTCCATCCACGTCGTTGCAAATGGCAAGATCTCATTCCTTTTGATGGCTGCATAATATTCCATTGTATATATATACCACATCTTCTTTATCCATTCATCTGACAGCTATCACTTTTGTATTCAGTAATAGCTTTTGGATAAGTGAAATGAATGACAATGTTACAAGGGACAGGGAGAAATTAGGAATACGCTGACATAAGGTAAACTCAGGAAAACAAAGTAAAAAAACTATAATTGATATGCTGAGAAGAGATAAAATGCTCAGTTAAAGCTAAAGCCGGCAGAAAAATGGTGGAAGACAAAGAAATAAGGACAACTTTTTTAAAAAAGAGTAAAAAGCACGGTAGATATTAATCAACATTATCAATAACCACTTTAAACATCAATGGCCTAAACCCTACAAATGAAAGACATACTATAACAGCACATTAAATAGAACTAAATATAGACCCAAATTAACTTAAAAGGATGGAGAAAGATACACCATGCCAACAGTAATCAAAAGAAAGCTGGCAGAGCATATTAATTTCAGACAAAGCCTACTTCAAAGCAAGGAAATATCAGATAAAGAGGGAATCATGTATTGATAAAGAGGTCAAATCTCCAGGAAAATAGAACAATCCTTTCTGTGTATGTGCATTAATAACAGAGTAGCAAAATATGTTAGGCAAAAACTCATAAAATTGGACCCATCAAGACCCCCATATCAGTAACATAAGAGTTTCAGCAGGAAGAAAATCAGGAAATCCATGGAGTATGTCATCAACAGCAAATACACATTCTTTTCAGGTTCACATGCAACATTCACCAAGACAAACTGCCTTCTGGGATATAAAACACCTTAAATTTGAAAGAACAGAAAACATACAATATGTTCTCAGGAAACAGCAGCATTAATCTAGAAATCAGTAACAGGAAAGCAGATGGAAAACCCCAAAGACATGGAGATAAAAAACTTCTAAATATCGGGATCAAAAAGTCTAAAGAAATCATCATTATTATTTTGAACAATATAAAAATAGAATTTATCAAAAGTTGTCTGGTGGAGCAATTGTAGAAGCCTAGAAGGAAATTTATACCATTGAACAAATAAACCAAAGGAAAAAAAAAAAAAAAGATCGACAATAATGTAAGCAACTACTTGAGGAAACAATAAAGAACGACAAATTAAACCTTAAGGAGAATAAAACAGTCCAGGTCATGATGGTGACACACAACGATCCTGAACTTACTTTCTCCCACAGACACACTGAATCTACATCTACATATGGAATAATTTCCTTGGAAAAACCCAAACCCCAAAAACTAGCTAAGCAGTTCCTACACACTGGATGAATGAGCAAACAAACCACATGAAAGCTGGTAAGAGAGGCTGAGACACAATCTTGCCATAAACCCCACCCCTGGTGCAGCAACCCACAATCAGGAGGGAACTCAAAATCCCAAGCTTCTCCCTGAGGAGTGAAGGTTCTGAACCGCACTTCTGGTACCCCCTACTCTTAAGACCTGAACTTGAAGATGAGCCCCCAAACATCTACCTTTGAAAGCCAACAGAGCCTGCATCCATGGGACCAAGAAGGCTATAGCCAACTGAAACAGTTCTTAAAAGGCTCACATGTGCAGACTCACCCAGCCCAGGACCCAGCATAGAAGCAGCTGACTGCAAAGCACCCAGACTTTCTGTTGAAGTGGCTTGTTTGAGGGGTGCCAGGGTGGCTCATTCGGTTAAGCGTCTGACTCTTGATTTCACCTCAAGTCGTGAGATGGGCATGGAGCCTGCTTATGATTCTCTTTCTCCCTTTCCTTCTGCCCCTCCCTGCTCTATTTAAAAAACAAACAAAAAAACCCCAAAAAACAAAAAACAAATGAGGCTTGCTTGCTAATCTTAAAGTGTCAGCTTGAAAGGCAGGCATCTAATTTAACATACATCTAGGGGCTTACTGAAATGTTCTCCAAAAACAGACGATTTGTGTGCTCTCCCTCTGCCTCACTGCAGCTCTCCAGTATCTCCCAGGAGCACGAGCCCTGGCCTGACACTCTTGATTTTTGCAGAAAATTTTTGCTGCCCAGGGAACACCTCTAGATTGCTTGGCTCTGGCGGTCAGTGGAGCTTACGCCCGTGGGTCCCACAAGACTGTAACAAATGGAGAGAGTTCTTAACTGGCTACCACCATTCTCAGGGCACAGCAAAGAGGCAACAGACCGAGGCACCCAGTCTCTGTCAGAGAGGCCTATTAGTTTATCTTCATAGCTGTCATCTGAGGGGTGAGCTTCTAATTAAACACACACCGAGGACCCAGCCTACATCCTCTCTGGAGATCAGGGGGCGGGGGGGGGGGGCCAGAGGTGCAGGAGTGCTGACAATATGGGCCTCCGACCCTGTCCAGGTTCGCTCAGTGACTTTGCCTGGGCCTTCCTGTTCCTGGCCCCTCAGAGGTCAATACACACACGTAAGGAATGCCCACCATGGCTGGAATGAGGGGATGCTTGTTTTGGCCTTCCATCAATCACAGGTGGTGCCACAAGATCCGATTAAAGGCCAGCTGTCCATTAGGGGCGTGCACGCTCTCTGACCTCACTGCAGTGTCCTCCTGTGTGTCCCCTTCTTCTAGAAAATCTGTGGACTGAGGCCTGGACTTGTGGAGAATAACTCTGCAGCTGCCTGGACCATCCTCTGCCCACTCTC